AGGTCATGGGCTATAGGATTCCATATACACAACAGACTTGAAATGATAAAACTACAGAAATAGAGAACAGATAACAGATTGGTGGTTGCCACAGGTTAAGGAGAGGGTGTGCACGGTGGGGAAGTAGGTGTGGCTATACACGGGCAACAGGGGGAGAATCCTTGGGGTGAAGGAAATAGTCTATGTTTGGCTGTACCAGTGTCCACAGGCTGGTTGTGATTTTGTACTGTAGTTTTGCAAGATGTTACCATGGGGGATAAAGGGTGTATAGGATATCTCTGTACTATTTCTTACAACTACATGCCAGTTCTGCAATTATCTCAAGATAAGTAGTTTAATAAATGAATTGCCGGGGCGCCTGGGTGGCTCAGTTGGTTAAGCGACTGCCTTCAGCTCAGGTCATGATCCCGGAGTCCCAGGATCGAGTCCCACATCGGGTTCCCTGCTCAGCAGGGAGCCTGCTTCGCCCTCTGACCCTACGCCCCCTTGGGCTCTCTCTCTCTCACTCTTTTTCTCTCTCAAATAAATAAAATCTTTTAAAAAAAATAAATGAATTGCCAGTGTATAAAGGTCAGGAAGATCAGCATTAGGTCTCTGAAAATCAGAGATGGGGCAATGCTGGTTTACATTTCTCTAGCAGTCCTGCATCCCCACATACATACCTTTCCACCACCCCCACATCTGCATTACGTGGCAGACTCCCCCTCTACACGCTGAGTCCTGCACACCGTGCGTAAGATTCTGTTTGACTGCCAACATCTTTGAAAAACCATTGTCCGAGACCAAACTTGCCTGATACCAAGAGGAAGTGAAGGCCCAGAGACGTCTTGAGAATGGCCTTAAACGACACAGAAACTCAGCAGCAGACCTGGGATCTAACTAGGATGTCTCCAAGGTCAGGGAGAAGGAAGGAAGACAGCAGAAGCAGGGGCCCTGCTGGTAGCACAATCAACCATCCTGTGACCACCCAGGACACAGACGTGGCCAGTCTCTCCAGCCAGGCCCACGGCCTTTGTCATCAGTGCTCAGTGACAGGCTCAGAGATAGTCCTGGAGAGTCGGTGACTCTCGTGAGCCTGCTCTCTTGCAGCTGTTGGTAAATTCATAGCCTGCCCAAGACAGGATCCAGGAGAGAAAAGAAGAGAGGGGGCAGAGAGAGAGGGGAGCCAGCAGGAGAGAAAGGACGAGAAATCCTGGGACACCCATGAGGGTTTCTCCTGGTGTGGTTTTCCAAACTTGCTAGGCTGGCAGAACGCCAAGAATGAAAAATCCACAAAACACGGGTAACTTTTGCCACCTGCACGAAGGTTCCCTTTGGGGGAGGGCTGGGAGCTGTGCTGGTACCAGGAGAGTCAGCCATAGGAGGTGGGACAGAGCTGACTGTGCACAGGGAGGGAGGGAAGAAGACACTGGAGTGCCCTGGGAGGCCACAGGGGGGAGGAGGGAGGAACCAGTGAGTCCCTGAGCTCTGTTGGAAGTAGGGGAGGGAGAGGAAAAAGAACCATGGATGGCGCCACCGTGGAGTAGGTACTTGGAAGGGTTTTTACGCTATTTGTGGAGGAGTGTGCAGGCACACCCTCAAGTGAACTTGTCACTCAAATCAACGTTAGTCCTTAACACTTGGGGTCTAAGGGAGGGGCAGAGTTCTTTACACAGGTGAGCATTGGGTAAATGCAGAAATTGCTCTGATAAGACAGTTGAGCTCCAAGGTGGGGGCCAGGGGATGTCTGAGTTACACACTGGGGTCTTCTGGGAGGGTCACACCCAAGCAGTGGAAACCCATGCCTCAAAGATTCAAACCCTGCCTAGGACAAACTAGGCTTGCCTCTGCTTCCACCCTGGTCAGGGCTGCCCAGCATGGACCCGCCCTTCTGAGCCATCAGAGCCCCGGAATGCATGCCCCAAGTCGGAGGGAAGCTGTGTGATGTCTCTGAGATTAAGGGCTTGGCCTTTGGATGGAGGCACTGTTCAGGCTCTGCCACTTCAGCTGGAGGCCAGGAGCCACAGTATTCCCTGCACTGTGTAGGAGCTAGCAGGAGGTTGCTGTCTCAGCCTGCCTACAGAGTTTGTAAGGTGCTGGGGGTCTTTCGGGGGGGGGGGCAAGTCCACAGTAGATGCCTGGACTATTTAGGGCATCTGCCTCACCTCTAAGGAGAGGGTCCCTGGGGATTAGGCTCTGCCTTGGGCTGGCCAGCAGGTGGGCACTGGAGCCTCAGAGGGAAGCTACCTGCTACCAGCTGCTGGAGACACCCTCAGGGTCAGGAGCCAGGACCCCAAGGAGAGGAGAGCAGGGCTATGAGCTGCTACCGGACTATTGCAGGGTTGGGGTGGGGGGTGGGGAGGCCTGGGAGGTCGGGCAGAGAGAGGAGAGGGGGGAGGATGCAGGTACTGTGACAGGCAGACTGCTGTCCCGGAACAGAGCACCTGCCACCGCTCACGGCATTCCTGCCTGCTTCCCTGGCCCTCCACCCTCCAGCAACAGGAAGAAGAAAGCCCCTTTGCACATGTAGAAGCCTGTACCAACTGTCACCCCAGGGTTGGCAAACTCTGCTGGAGTCCGCTACTTGGAAGCATGTGCAGTGAAGCCCCCCGGGGGAGACAGCCTTCTTGAGAGACACTGAGATTCCTTCCTGTCAGTGCTGCTAAACTGGGAGGAAGAGAAGGAGGCGGCCACCCTCCACCAACAGGAAGGGTCAGCAGGGTCTGGGAGTGCAGCTTCCAGTGTGGGAGTGGGGCTCAGCCTCCTGGGGAGCAAGATCCCTGACCAACCCAGACCCAGGGTGGGGACAAGCGTGCTTCCTGCTGCTCAGATGGCCCCTCGGGTGAGCCCGGGGTGTGACCAGTGGCCACAGTCACTACTGCAGACTCTAAACACAAACAGAACGCAATCGCTGCACCCACTGCAAGCCTTACTCTCAGGCCCTCCGGCTGCTTGCGATTCAGCGAGATGAAAATGCGCATCCGCCTCCTGTGACTCCGGGGAGAAGGCACATTTTGTGGAAGGCTTTGAAGGCAACTTCCCAGAAATTAAAGTCAGGAAAAGGGAGAGGAGCTGGGGGCTAATGCCCTTCCAGTCCTGGGTAGAAGGTTTAGTGGGTGCCCCAGAGCCTTCACTGCAGGGCCAGAGACCCCAGGGCTGACAGCAATGCAGTACCGGGGTGGGGGGAGCTGCTTTCTCAGGGTGGGGGCCCAGAACTGAGGGAAAAGCAGGATGGAGCCTCTTGTTGGGCCCTCTTTCCAGATTTCCCTACAGAAAACCCTTCAGTAGTTTGGGGAGAGGCTCCAAGACCTGCACCAGAGTTCTCAAGATCCCAAGACCCCCTGCCTCCTGCTGGGGGCTAAGCCATGCTCCTGTGGGATTCGGCCCCAGGGGGGACGACTAACCTGCCCACATATCTCCAGGACCAGGCAGAACAAGCCCCGGGAGATGCTTCTGAAAGGAGGGAAAGACCAACGGGGCCCAGAGACACCCCTTCATACTGGCTTTGGTGTTCTCACTCAAGAACTTTGCAGAGCCTGCAAATATTCCCTGCGGAAATACGAAAGACAGAGCTTCCGCCTTCTAAACGGTGTCTGGTTAATGAGCTGCGAGCTCAGAGTGACTGGCGAGAGGGACTAAACGTCACCAGAGGTACTCACTCCAGAGGCAGGGCTCAGTCTCACGGGAGGGAGAGAAAACACACTGCAGGCTTCCTGATAGAAGGCTGTTTGCCGGGCGGGGAGGAGGGCGGGGGGGTGCTGGTGTGCGGTAAAGCCCCTCTGTCAGGGAGCTACACTACTCACTGGAGCATCTATGTGGGTGGCTTCAAAGAGGAAGGTGGCAAAACCAAAAGAGCGCCATGGAGCATAGGAGTGGGGACAGCCGACAACAGCTCAGTCACTCTTGAAGTAGCTAGATACTAACTCGAGCGAAATCTCAGTTCGGGCTCTATGTAGACAAAGTGCAGGCACTGAAGGGTTAACAACAGTTACTGGAACTGCATGCCTTCGTTAGCAGGCCTGGGAGGACTGCACTTTCTGCTTGGATGCCCCAGCCAAAAAGTGGGAGCAGCTTGGATTGGCAAAAATAAAGGTTGGAAAATAAAAGCCACATCAACTCTGAGCAGACCCCAGAGCCCCACTGTCGGCGCAATCCTGTGATCACTACACGCCGGTTAGCCAAGTATAGGAAGCTTGGATCCACGTAACAAGGCACCTCTGAGCCCCAGCCCCTTACAGGGAGGCGGCCCCAGGATGCACTGGCCCAAGGCAGACTCTCCCAGGAAGAGCACGCACAACATTTGCCGCCGGAAGTATAAACACAATCATACAGGGCCCCAGGCTTCACCACGGAACACCCTAGCAGGTTCCAGTGGGTTCCAGGGCAGTGTGGCCCCCTCATGCCCAGGTCCATGAGCACCTGGCAGGATGCGGGTGGTACGTTAGTGGCTATGGCCCCAGGCCTGCCACTGTTGGGGGACCGTACCCTGAGACTCCTAGCCTATAGCAGCAGCTATTGTGCTTTGAGCAATCTATGGAACTAATACCTCCGTGTAGGTCTGGACAGGTGAATCCCAAGGTCAGGTGCCCATGCCCAGCACAGCCCTCTGCATGCCTGCTTCCCAGTGCCCAGCCTCCAGACTCACAGGGGATGGGTCCTGCGATGAGTGCACAGGCAAGGCAGCCAGCCCGGTGCCCTCACAGGGAGAGATGCCCTCATTCTCAACAGCCCAGCAAAGGCCAAAGCAGCCCTGCCCCTGCCCAGGGACAGAGCCAGGAGAGCCCAGAATCCTTATTCCTGCAGCCTGGGCCCCGGGGATAGAGACTCAGCTCCAGGCACCCACCTCAGTGACCTGGGATGAAAGTCCCAAGCCAGCGTCTGCTAGAGCCCTTCAGGGGCCAGGAGTTTCCAAATACATAAACTTGAGAGGTTCCTTCCGTGATTCATGTGACCTGGGAGCTGCCTGGGGAGGGATTGGTTTAGGAGGGACAAGACCACAGAGCCTAAGTCCAGGCACTTACCTTGACCTTCGCAAAGCTTCTTCATCAGGGTCTTGCACTGTGGGTAGAAAACTGCTGATCAGGAGGAATCGCAGAGAACGTAGGAGACCCCACCAATGACTGAACAGTGATTGCCCCCAGCCTGTAAAGCGTGGCAGGGGAAAGCTGTGTGCTGGGCAGAGGGCAGCGGGAGAAGGGGTACCCAGAGAAACAGTGCAGTTGGGAGGGAGTGGTCTGAGGTGTGGCCTGCGAGGTTCTCTTATCCCAGCTCTGGGCCGACATTTTGCCCGCAAGCCACATGGCACAAGGGCTGCCCCCCCCCCCCCCCCACCGCTGGAGTCAGGGAGCTGGGCAGAGGGCCGATGTCATTGGCAGCCTGCCCCAAGGGGCCCAGAGGGGCTCAGCAGGCCACTAGCTATCTGTCAAGGCCAGCTCATCTTCAAGGGCAGGGGCTCGACTCCCTGGCTTCTGTGGGCCTTAGGCCTCATGGCCCCTCCGCATCTCCGCCTGGCCAACCCTCCCCTCTCCCCGCCCCCCCCAGCCCCCCCAGTTTCACTTACTGTATTCTGTCCCAGTCATCTGGGCCAGGATGCGGAAGGAGCGAGACTGTAGGTTGGAGGAGCGGCGGGCCCACTCGTCAGCCTCGTCTTCCGGCTTGTTCTGGTTCTTGATCACGGCCTGGTACACCGGGGAGGCGCTGTCCACCGCGAGGTCTTTAATAGGAAGGCTCCTACGGGGCAGAGAGAAGCCGTGAGTGAGGGCGAGGCTGGAGGCTTGCTCCTGTGCTCTGCACTTCCCCACGGCTCCTCTGCTCGCAACCCCACACCCTGCACACCGGTTGGTGGCCCCTACTTGTCTCAACCCACCATGCCCTCCACCCACTGCCATCCGAAAGCCTGCAACAAGGGCTTGGCCTGGGTCCTCAGTGCTCAGGGTGGCCACAGCGAGAGAGCGATTCCTCTCAGATCCCTCCTGTCAAGCCCACACCCCACCCTGGGCTGACTCCACACACAGACCTGAAAACCCACCCCCACCCCAGCCGCCCCCCCCTCAGAGGGGGAGGGCTGGATCTCTTTTAAGGAAAGAGGCAAAATAGTTCTTTTGAAATAATTTCACCCTCTCTGAGCAGCTCCTGAGTTTGGGGCTGGGTGACGATGGGCCTTTCGGGGGACTCAGAGGCTTCTACAGGGTCAGTCCTTTGTCCTCCTCACACTGTTGGATCCAAACGAGGAGTCACCAGTGCCAGGCCTGCCCCAGAAGAGGACTGGGGGCTCCTGCTCAGCAAACACGGCAGGCGTGGTGGGGAGGTGGTGCAGGAAATAAGGCAACCAGGCTGATGGGCTGGCATCGCCCACGATGGTGGGAGGTGGCGGGGGTAGGTGGGTGGGTTCTGGCCTGGGGGAGCTGGGAGTAGAGCTGCAGGGAAGGTCATTGGTCCTCTGCTCCAGGGCAGCAAGGCCTTTGGAGGGGGACCAGGTGACCTTCCCTTAGACTCCCTTAGGCACATAGCAGGTACTCAAAACTTACTTAAATGAATGAATCCCACATCAGAGCCAGAAGGGACCCCAGAATCTCTTGGGTCCAGGGCCTCCCAGCCTGATTCAGACTGCAGGGCCTCTTACGGGTGCCCACTTACCCTGGCCATGAGAACTGGAGGATCCTGGCTGTCCAGCCCACCCTCCCGGGAATTAGGGTGGACTTGGGTCAAGTTCACAGCAATGATGGCCTGGCTCCTCACACCTATGGACCAGTGGCCCAGCCCTCTCCCCTTACAGATGCTGAAACTGAGGTCGAGAGAGGCTAGCTCCATGTGACAGCATGTAGGGACCCTGTTGGGTCAGAGCCCAGGCTTCCTGGGTCCCACCCCACTGTCCTCTCCATCAAACTCTGTGCAGCAAAAACAACTCAGAGAGGCCACTTCTGCCCACTGGGGTCTTGCACATCCCAGATGCTCCATACCTGGAGACACGGCCCAGCCCAGGCACTCACTCTGTCCAGCCTCCCCTTGCCTGCTGCTAGGGCTGCCTCTACCTGCCCTCCAGAGAGCCAGCTGGCTGGGAGAGGGACCTCCCCAGGGCCCACATCTTCTAGCCTCTCTGCAAGGAGCTGGAAGGAAGCACTGACCTACTTTCCCAGGATTGGGAGTCTCTCAAGATTGGCCCCCAGTGTATGGCTCAGAGTGGGCTCTAAGAGCAGGGGTGGAGAAAGGTGACAAAAGGTGACCAAGACTTCGCGGAGCTGCCCCTACTTCCCCGAAGGTTCTGCCCTGCCCCCCCCCCCCCCCAGAAGACCTATGGCTACTGACAGCCTCGGATCAGATGGGGAAGACCAGCACATCCCTCCGGGGTCCAGCAGTGGAAGGCTGGGGCTTCCCAGAGAAGAGAGAATGGGATTTCACTTCGAGAGGCCATTTCTGGCCTAGGGAGGAGCAAAGGCAGGGTCAGCTGCCCTCGAGTGAGAGGTGCAATAAGAAGGCAGTAGCAGGACTCCTTGGTTTGCTAGAAGGGAAGGAGGAAGTATGATTTCGCCATAGGAGAGGGAAGGTGTAGACCCAAGCCCAGGCCCTGCCCTTGAGCCTGCCTACACAGCTTTGTGGTCCAGAAAGTGGATGGAAGGTGTTTGCTGCCATTTCTCTGGAACGTGCCCTTGAGGCACTCCCCTGTTCCTTCCACAGCTCCAAGGGCTCAAGAAAGCTTCCTGGAGTGAGTCCCTTGGGATTCACATTGTTGGTCTCACTTCCCACAATGCTGTGCAAAGATCAGGGATTTATGTTGCTGCCGCGACAGACGCTAGAAGTCAGAGGAAGGAATTCCCGTTCCTTTTGAGACTCCGGGGCTCAGGGAGAGTATGTCCAGAGAAAGGATGGAACAGACCCTACAGTCCTGGGACCCTGGGTCCAAGGCTATTCTGGAACCACTCCCAGCATGGTGTTCCTGCCACCAAAAACATTCCACAGTCACCACAACATCAAGGTCACCTCTGGACACTAATCCCACTGGTCCACTGCCCCCAAATCTGACTCATCTTTCACCTCCCGTGGGTGGTACTGGCAGGCGCTGGCTCCTCCAGATCCATCTCCCATGAGGATCCTAGGGAATGGCCTCCAAGAGGCCCCCTCATCACCCTCTTCCCTGAATAATGGCCCCGCGTGGATTCCGACATTCAGGTCTATGCTGTCCCGGAGCAGACGGGAAAGGCTGTGGGGAGCCGCCGCAAAGCACAGCACGGAGACCCACTCCCAGCCTTGGGTGCAGGGGAGGCAGGGTGATGTCATGACTCTGATTTCCATGTCCGTAGTGACATTGTTTGAGGCAAACCCCGAAAGCACTTGCCTGTATAGGCTGCTGAGCATGTCGTTTGGCTGTGAGGTGGGTGTGAGGAAGGACATGGACAGAACCGCTGTCCTCAGACATATCCCACCAAACCCACACACCATCCCTCGACCAGACAGACGACCACGATGCGGAACAGACACTGTGGGGTCTACTTACACCAGCGGCGACGCCCTGCCAAGCAGAAGAAAGCCCAGCAGTGAGCGCGTGTCCGTCAGCGGATGGCAGAGGGGCCGCGCGCACACAAGGGAGCAGGGTTAGGGTCAGAAATGAGTTATGGGAGCGGGGTGGATAAAGGAGGAAGAGAAAGAGACAAAAAGAAAACTGTCAGTGAGGAAGGAATCATGGGCATTAACAGCAGAAACGGAGCACCTTAAGGCACAGGGGAGAGGGGCCGGCAGGTCCTACCCCCGGCACCATGGTCATGTCAGCCCAGCAGGGCTAAGTTAGAAGGAAGGGGAGAGCGTGTTGCTTCCCAGGCACGGGGGAAGGGAGGGCGAGGGGAGGGGAGGGGATAGGAAGAAGGTGGGAGAGGTACTCGGAGAAGCCTAGATTAGGTCAATGGTGCGGCATGTTAAAAAAAAAAAAAAAAACTGGTAAAACCAAATGGCAGTAGTCTTTTTCCAAAGTGCAGAATATATAAAGTTAGTGAAGAGCAGTTCTTCCATTATTTTCCACTGAACTTCCCTTTGGCGACATTACCACTCTTAAGAGCACACCAAGGACACACGAGGCAAACAAATGTTAACAGGAAATCCCTGTTAGCTTTTTGGCTTAGTCAGGCAGCCCTGTTTTTCTGGGTACACATGAGCTAATGGTTGTGTTTTTAAACTTGCATGGTCATATATTCTGGTCTGAACAAAGAGCCACAGCTCGGAATCTGGTGGGCTTGAGATTCCGGGCTCCAGGGCAAGCCACCTCTGCCCCCTGGTGGCCCAAAGGAAGCACTGAGAGCCGAAGAGGAGGGCCGGGGAGTCCACACACCGTTCCATCCTTTGGCCCCTGGAGCCTGCCCCTTGTAACTGCAGGGACGTCTTGGTCCCAGGGGTTGGGTTCCGCAAAGGCCAAACACTATGGGAGTTATCGGGGACTTTTAAACCCCTTTATCCCTCTTAAAACATCTGTATTTCCTAGCTTCGGAAAAAAAATACAACCATGATTTTAAGATTTCTTGCCTTGAGGTGCTTGAGATCCTGACTTGGGGATAAGATACTGCCCAAAGAGATAATCAGTCAATTCTGAAAGTCAACAACAATGATATTCTCAGGTAGAAAACAATAAGAGTGTGTTTGTGTGAGAGAGAAACAGGCCGACAGACATACAGAGAGGCAGAAAGAAAGAGAGACCCAGAGATAAAGACAGAGAGACACATATAGAAAGAGAGAGAGACAGAGAAAGAAAGAGGGAGCGAGGTCCCTATTACTGTTTGCACTATTAGCAGTTTCTTCCACAAAGGATTTTCAGCCAACTCTTTCCCTATTCAACACTCAAGTTCCTCAACCATTGCTAACAGACTAATTCCAGGAACCAAGGATGTCCTAAATCCCACCGCCCTGAGGCTGGGCTTCCGTGGAACACACGGGAAGAGGGGGTACTTCCCAGGCTCTGCAGTGGGCTGACTACCACCAGCACCTTGGATGGTTGGTCCAGAGGCCCCTTCCCAAACAAGACACCTGGTCACGCGTTTGAATTGCTCTCATCATTGGAAGAAAGCAGCAACTTCCCCCAAAGAATGGCTTAGTTTGTGAGAAGACTGGTTTATCCAGAATGTGACCCAGGATTCCAGAAGTCTCTTTCTAAACCGACCCCCTTGTGGAGCCCAGGAAAATGCGGAAGCTGTGAGAAGCACTTGGAGCAACCACCATATTCTTCAATTCTCCACCCTTCTCCTAAAGCTGACCGTGAGACTGATTCTGAAGAGAGAATACGGTGTTCTGGAAGGCCCTGGCAAAGGCTGGCTCCCCTCCAATGGACACGCCCCTAGAGGCCCAAGGCAAGGGAGGAAAGCTGGTCCCGTGGCGCCCAGCAGCCTGGTGCCCTTGGCCTCTACTGGTGAGGAGGCCCAGCCAGTGGTGGAGGCGGTGATCGATGAGTGACAGCGGAGGAGGGGAGGCGCTTACCCACTGAAGTCACTGCCCTGGGCCTGGGCCTGCCCAGCAATGGCGTCCATGATGGCGTCCTGGGAGTACATGCTGATGGGTGTGTTGTACTGCGCATGGATGATGGTGGCCTTGCCGCCCAGCCCCTTCACCTCGATGGGCTTGTGGGTGGACAGGGCAGAGTCCTTCAGGGCGCTGGGGTTGAACCGTTCCTGGTAGTCGGCGCTGGGGGAGGGCAGCAGGGGGAGCAGAGGAGGAAGAGGAAGGGAGGTGGAAGGAGAAAAGGCAACAGGTGCTGTTACACAGGGGTCAAAGTGAGGACTGGTGGTGGAGAGACCTCCCAAGGCCTGATCCCAGGTAGGTTCCCAAGTCCCCTGAACTGTGGACAGCTGGGTCTGCTAGAGAAGATCCTCAGCACCCTCTCCAAAGCCCTTCATAGCAGTTTTCTCTTGCCCACATTGGCGATCCCAGATCCTGGGAAGCCTTGGCTCAGCCCGAGCTACACCTCAGGGTCAGCAGGGGGCGCCAGGCATTGAAAGCTCTCTCACCACACCAGCAGGGAAGCAGAGACAAAGAGGGTTGGAGGTCAAGGACAGGAGTTGGGCCACGAGCGAGAGGCAGTGGCAGCCCAAGCAGGGTCCAGAATGACCCAAAGGCAGAAAGCAGCCCCACTGGGCACCCCTGGGGGTTCTGAGCAAGGTTCCTCCACGAAGGGTTTCATCCTCCTGGCCACGCCCTCAGTGGCTCAGGGCTCTGTTCCTCCAGATGCTTCGGAGCAAGTGTTTTCTTCCTCGGAGCAGGACTCAGGCTGCTCAGTCCTTCTCAAGTCCAACTGGCTGGGCGGCCACCAGTCTCTGCCCATCCGGGGCTTTCCCCTCCAACAGATGAGTGCACTCTCCGGGGCCAAGAAGGTCAGGCACAGCCCTTCTGAGCGGTCCCGCCAGGACAGAAATGTCTTCAGGCTCACATGGAACCCAGCACCAGCTCGGCACACACTCCACCCACCATCCTCCCTCTGCCCCCCAGAGCCAGCCTGCTGGTCTTAAGCAGCCGCAGCAGGAAAGAGGGAAGGGATAGGGCACATCAGACAGAGCCCTAGCACCCCTCCCCAATGCCTTCCCTCCATACTTGCAGCTCCACACACATGCAGGCTCGCTCAGGGACACAAATGCACCCCCATTCACACATGCACACGCACGTACACATGCTGACGCCGGCGCACGCTGTCCAGACCAACAGACACACGGACGCATGCTGGGATATGCACACAAGTGCACACACATGCTTTCCTTTGATACTAACTTGGCTGGAGAGTTGGCTACCACCTGGGAAGGAGAGAAAGAGCAAAGAAGACAGGGCTGTCAGACTGCGGTCCTGCCAGGGGCTCTGAGTGCTGGGACCATCCTCAGACTGGCTCTCGTGGGGGCTGCACCAGCCCTGACTGGCGCCGGGTTGGGAGAGCGCCGAGGAGAGGGGGCAGAGCTCAGGGTCAGGGTCACAGCCTCTGAGTTTGGGTCAGAGGTGCTGACAGCAGTGTTTCCCCCTCAGTATATCCACAGCCCCTGAAGCTGCCATTTTCACAGGCGTTCAAATACCATGTAAGAGAATCTGCCACATACAACCTGGCTGGAGACCCCAAGAGAGGAAGATGGAGAGGGAGACACAGGACCAGCTGTGGCTGCTATGGGCAGAGCCAAGGTTGGAGGTGCCTCCGAGCCAGTCAGCAGCTCTGGACTTACCCTTGTTTAATGGGGGCCAGCTCTGGGAGTTCTGCTCCCTGAGCAGGATTGCCAGTGGTGCTGGGGTGTGCAGTTGGGTTACCCACAGCTCCAGGGGATGTACTCTCCCTCCTGCGGCGGGGCAGGCGGCCCTGGCCACTCCCTCTGGGGCACAGGGATGCAGTCCCCAGTGACTGCCCCTAAAGGCCCTGTGGACTGTCAATGAGGCAGGACGGAGGAAGGCGGAGGCTCAGGAGAAGTACTAGGTCCAAGGCGTATTGCAGGAAAGCCCCCAGCCAAGGCAGCCCAGCTCAGACACAAGAGGGACCCTGCCCTCGCTTTTGTCCAGAGCGAGCCTCCCAGAGCATTATCTCCGTGGGGGAGGTGTTGCCTGCTTTATGTTTTCTTAAATGCAAATCCCTTGCAGGGCAGACCCTGGCAGCACCAATGGGCCTGTCAGAAACCTGAGGGAAGAGAGTGCAGACGGTGGCGTCCCTGCCCCCAAACCCTGCCACCGTCCCAGATCGGACCACTCCGGGCTCTGGCTGGGAAAGCCTGGGCCCCAACTGGCCTGACCCTGGTCATCCCTTGGCCAGGACTACGGGGACCCAGGCAAAAGCCAGGGGGCCTCTAGCCCCAGGCCCTACACTGTCTCAGAGCTGATAAAATTCCCTCTGTCCTCTTGGCTCAAATAGCTCCAAGTGGAGCTATATTAGGAAAGATCTTCCATCCGTTCTCCATTTCTGGCCAGTGCTGACAGCTGCAGGGTCAGCTCTCGCCCTCACCAGCCCAGCGCCCCCTACAGAGGGCAGTGTTGGCATGGGGCAGGGGCAGGGCTGCCGCCTCTGCCCTTCTCTGCCCTGGCACCCGGTACCCAGCTGCTAGTATCTTCTTTGGCATTGACCCCTGGCCCCTGCTTAGCTTCCACCCGAAGACTCGGAGGCTGGGCAACCCGCAGCAGACAGCTTGCGGAGGACCAGCGCCCAGGGAGAATAAGTCAAAGATGTAAGACCCACCCAGGAGCCCTTGCACCCAGTGGCCTGAGGGATACTGCCCTGCCGTGCCAGCTCACAGAGGATGAGAGGGGGGCTGCAGGGATGCTCTGGCCTGCTGACCTTGCACCCTGTTTGTCCTTTCCAATCCTCCCAAGAGGATTCTAGCTGCCAAGGATTCACATTGCAAGCGGCCCGGAGAGGAGGGGAAGGAGCTTCCTTTTGGAGCCAGACAGGAGAGAGTTCAAATCCTAACCCTGCATCTTCCTAGCACTGTGACTCTGGGCAGTTCCCCACCAGTCCCAGCCTCAGTCCCTCACTCACAAAATCGAGATGGTGGTGCCCACCATGCAGACGGGTTGTACACACTAAACAGAATCCTGAGTGGAAAGCCCTTAGCATGACTTAAGTGTGCAACAGACCGGATGTGGGGATTAGCATTTACCAACCCTATCACCTTCCAGGACTTAGACACTTAGCAAAGGTGGTAGTCTCAGCCCATCAGAGGCTGCCTGGGCTAGCCCAGGTCAGAGGCTCCCCCATTCCAGCCAGCATCGCCTGGGGACCGCAGCATCAGCCTTTACCGTGGATGAAAGGAGATGCACTCCTTCCCTAGCCTGTCTACCCTTGCAGAAACTGCTGGACCCTGCTGCTCTGAGGGTCAAGTAATAATTTAACACCTGTGGCTTCTGAGAACCCCTGCAGCAGCGGGAAGGAGCCACTGGAGTCATAGGAAGCTGGGTTGGGGCTGGCCCTTATTTTCCTGGGCAGGTTGTTAGGTCCCTATCACCATGTAGGGAGGAGTCAGGCTGACCTGAGTACCATTCCTGTCTGCCACTCATAAGCTGTGTGTGACCTTGAGCAAATCACCCACTCTGAGCTTCTGTTTCCCAGCTAGAAAATGGGGGAAATGATGCTCACCTCTGAAGTTGCTGAGAGTTGAAGTTAAATAAAGCACATGGACTGTTAGCTGGCCCCACGTCTAGACTGAGGGCTCATAAGGGGAGATATTACTGTCACTGCAGGTGGGCCTCATGGAGGTCCCAATCTCTCAGAGGCTGACTTCCCTGCCAGGGGCCAGTTCCAGAGACACAAGAAAGAGCTACCAGCCCATCCAGGGCAAAAGGAGGCCATTTCTACTCTGCCATTCCTTGAGTTTTCTGATAGAAGCTCCTTGCTAGAAAAAGCCCAGGGGTTGGAATGCCTGGGTGGCTCAGTCAGTCAAGCGTCTGCCTTTGGCTCAGGTCATGATCCCAGGGTCCTGGGATCGAGTCCTGCATCGGGCTCCCTGCTCATCCCGGAGCCTACTTCTCCCTCTACCTGCCGCTCCCTCTGTTTGTGCGCACTCTCTCTCTCTCTCTGATAAATAAATAAATAAAATCTTAAAACAAAAACAAAAACAAAAACAAGCCCAGGGGTTTATGGCTTCGTCGCCTTGGTCCAAGGAAGCCAGGGTCCAGGTGCTTAGGCTGTGGAGTGCCCAAGGCCAGCTTCACTCAAGATCCCAGAAAGAGCTGAGGGATATGGGGAAGCAGTGAACTGGTGGGGCACAGGTACCTTCTGTAGCAAGGGCAAAGGAAGGGCATGGGCGTGAGCCAGACTGACCCAGGATATGATTCTGACTCACGGGTGCATCCGCTGTGTGGCTTCAAGTAACACACAGCAAATGTGCCGGAACAGAGCTCAGTGCTGTGCATGTGTGGTCTCTTTCCATCCTCCCGGTAATCCTGAGACATGGACAGTCTCACACCCACGTACAGAGGAGGAGCCCTGAACCCCTAACCACTGGGCTGTATTGCCTTGACTCGGCCTGTTCTGCCTCTAGAGCACGCGAAGACAATTATACCGACTGCATGGGAGAAGTCAGAATAAGATAAAGGCAGGAAGGGCTCAGGAGCTAGTACGTGTTCCGCGTCGGGGCTCCCTCCTCTCAGCCCCTCCATGATGCCCACCCTGACTGTAGGTTCTTGTAGCTCCTGTGCTCGCAGAGTCCCTCCAGCTGGAGTTCAGGGGGTGGGGGGCGGGCTACTGTTCTCCTGCACAGCCTTTTTCTGTGGAGGGACCTCGGGGTCCTGCTTCCTTGCCTCATTCTATTGAGGGTCAGTCCTACAAGCCCACGACACTCACCCCGTTGCTGAATCTTTCTGCACCCAGCTCAGGCGCTCCCTTGTACAGGCAGCCTTCCCAGCCCACTCCCAGCCCCAAAGAACTTACCCTCCCACTTCTCTAATTCTTCCCTGCTCCTGCCTCAGGGCTCCTTCTGGGGACCAGCCTGACCCTCACCCCCGGGTTTCTGGAGGCAGCAGGCTTCATCTTGTCCCAGGGGGTGGGCCGGTGTGAACGTCTGGGAGTCAGTGTCTTCTGCATTCAGACCTCACTTAGCCACTTAGCAGCAGGAGACAGCTGGACCTTGACTAAACCTTCTCTGAGCCTCAGTTTCCCCCTCTGCAGGATCCAACACATCACCCCAGCTTGTGTAAAGCCATGACACCGCGGCTCCCGGGAAAAGTGCTAGCAGGCTTATTACTTGTATCGCTCTCAGCTTGTGCCGCCATGTGGGCCGGCTGAGGCCTGCTCCTCGCTCTGACTGCCCGGCCTCTGGGAGCACTGAGGACCCCGGTGGCCCCAGACCACCAGCAGAGAGCTGTGTGCCCGTTACCTACCCTCCTGGGAGTCCGGCACCTGGGGCCTTCCCTCGGAGGCTCATCTGATACATCTGAGCCATCTCCCTCAGGGTCTCTGCCGAGTACAGGCCAATGGGGTTGTTATACTGCCTCGGCTGGCTCGAGCCCTGCGGGACTTTCGGGCTGAGTGAGTCCAGGGCTCCCTCCAGGCCGGTCTTGGCCCCCGGGCTGCCCCGTGGAGGGCCGGGCTCAGAGGCCCCTGTGTGTGAGAAGACGGAGGTCTGGGAGAAGGAGGAGCTAAAGGTCTGCCTGAGCTCCGGGGTGCCCAGGGTGCCCGAGGTGCCCAGGCTGGCCCTCGCCTTGGGGTTGGGGCTGAGCGCCGCCAGGCTGCCGTTCGTGTCCCGAGCGGGGTCCTGGCACAGGGCAGCGCCATGCAGGGGAGAAAGAAGAGAGCAGTTAGAGGCTACACGAGTCCCAGCGCTTCTGCATGGACCTGAAACAGAGGTGTTAGTGCGAGCACCCAGCAGCCTGCCACCCCGCAGCCTACAGCGCGGAGCTCAGGAGGGGCGGACACCTGGAAGAGAAGGGTTTTGTCAAGGAGAGGGAGGGAGGCGCCCATCCCTGGCCCTGAGGCTCACATCCACCTGGACAAAGTGCAAGCCCCACGCAGAAAGCCAAGCCAGCCTGCCTGCAGGGCTGGAGGAAAGGGGGCGTGGGCCTCAGGGAGTTGGGGGGAGCCCCCTCCATCCTATATCTGCTTCCTGTTCCCCTAAGTGGAAGCCCCTGGTGGGCACAGCTCGACCTCCTGCTCTACTGACCCCTTGCTGAGATGCCCCTGCACAGCCAGAGGACACCCCGGGCTGGCGGCGGTCAGGCAGAGTAGAGGTGCAAGAGGGAAAACTGGGGCACTGGGGGGCTGACATTTGGTTCCCACAGTCCACCTGTGCAACTTCCCCAAGCAGCCCTCTGCCCCCTTTCCCCATGTGTCACCCACCCCAAGCCCCTGTCAACCTCTTCCTGTCCCCTCCCCCACCCTGCCTACGGCCCAATCTGCGCCAGTGGACAGACAGGGGTCAGTACGAGGTCATGCAGGGAGGGGTGCGGAGTGGGCCTTGCAGGAGGGATGAGGCGGGCCTCCCACGCTTCGGGTCAAGCCCTTTGGGCCCACGGGGTTGAGCTGCTTCGAGGGAGCTGGGAAGGGGTGGCGGGCACAGGGGTGAGGTGGCCTGGCTACTATCAGCACTCCTGAGGGGGCTGATGGGGCGTTCAGTCGGGAGGGGCTGTGGAAACCCGGGGAAGACCCTATGTCAGAGGATAAAGTCTGATAGCAGGCAGGCCCCCTCCATGCCTGGGGTGGCTGCTCAAACCGGGGCCTCCGGCTCTCATGGCCCAGTCACCCCCTCCCAGCACCCTCAGGAGAATGAGGGTCAGAGCCTTCCGGATCCTTGTCCCCACCTAGCTGGGAAGAAGATTCCTCTCTTAAAAACACCGCTGCCTAGGCTGGCTTCCCATCAGCCCGGCCCCGAGGCCCCGGGTGCTGGCTAGCACCCAGGCAGGCACCCCACACTCGGTATTTCATGGGGCTTGAACGCCTCTTCCTGGGGGCCTGCCCCACCTCCCTCATGGTCAGCCACAACAGAGGCAAGGGTAGGGCCCTGGTTGGGCCAACCAAGGATCAGGCAGGCAGGCCAGGAGCTGCCCCCCAGGAACCACTGCTGAGAGTGGAGTCAGCACCTACCTTCTGGTGGGGGATCACCGGCAGGGGGGACTGGACCGGAGGCGCTGTTGTGGAGATGGGGATGGGGCGCTTCGACCTGGAAGAAACCAGAAAGTGAAGACAACTGCCACTAGGACCAGGAGCTCCTACCAGGACAGGGCTTGTAACAGAAGAGCATCTGAGAGCTGGGGAGCCAGGTCACTGGGTAACAGTTTCAGGCCCACTGTCCACCCCATGGACTGGGTGACTCCAAGAAGGCACTGGGCCTGACCAGGATGAGGAAGTCATGGCTCTTGGGCACTTTGCACCCATGGGCCTCTGTTAGGTCCCTGGGAGGCTGTCTGGGGCAAAGAGGAAGCAGGGAAGATCCTGGCTTTCAGGCCCGACTGCCCACACACTGGCAGCACTGTGACCACCCCCACCCCTGAACCTCGTCTGTAAAGTGACGCACAGATGTGCCAGATGTTTGATGGCTTGGCCCTGGCCTCCTTCTAGTCCAGAGGCCCTCCTTACTTTCCTGTGTGATCCTGTGGCATAGGCTGGGCCCACGTGAGGCCGGCTGCCGGACACCCTCTCCCGGGCCCTTGATGCCCACACCCCTCTACCCCCTGCTCTGGAGAGCTCCCACCTACTTCTGCAGCGTGAGACTCAGGTTGTAGTTGGCAGACTTGATCTTGTTCTGGGCTTCCAGGTGGGTCATGGTGTCTGTGTTGACTCCATCAATGGCCACCACGAGGTCACCCTGGCTGAGCTGGGACTGGGCGGCCTTGCTCCCCGGTGTGATCTGAGAGGGTGGCAGATGGGGGGTAAGCGTACAAAGGGTGGGACTGAGGATGGGCCAGTCTCGAGGAAGAGTCACCTGGGATCATCCAGGTGAGGCCTGCCATTTCCTCTTTCATTCACTATGGCCAGTACCTGCTGCTCACCAAGGCTGATGCCTCCTCCTGGCACACCATCACCCCTTTGCCTAGTGTTCTGTGTCTGAAGGCGACCGTGAGACCAGCTCTGGCTAGGGGAAACAATGCCCGCCACTTCCAGGCCTGCCCCTAGCCATCATCCTTGCCATCCTGCACTCTCTCTGCTTATCAGCTGACTGGATGCAGAGGACCAAAGAGGACAGCTGACCCACCAATGGAGGGACCTGAATCCTCGAGTCACTGCTTGGAGGAGAGGATTAAGAAGTACCGCCTCAGATGCTGCATGAGTGAGAAATAAGCTTCTGCTATGCTAAGCCATTGAGATTTGGGGGTTGTCTGTTACACCAGTTAGCGTACTATAATGCCTGCACCCTGAAAAGCCCTGGGGTACTTTCCAGGCTCCAGGATGGAGGGTATATATTCGAGCTAAGATTGAGCACTACCACAGAGACTCTGCCAGGCGAAGTAGGCTGGACAGATGCACCCTCACAGAAGCATCCCAGTGCAAGTGCCCAGTGCTACCATTGCAGGTGAGCCTGCTGGGGAAGCTGTCAACCCAGCCTGGGGAAGCTAACCTTGGTTAGCTGCGACATGGGGCAGGGCTTAGAGCTCTGTGGCTGGCTTCACACTTCCAGAAGGGGAAGTGCAGGTGTGGGAACCAGGTCCCAAGTCCTGCACACTAATGACATCACAGAATGTTAGAGTCTGGGGACCCCACCCCCAGTGTGACCACACAGAATGCTATAGACCCTGCACGCCAAGAATACCCTATGACCTCCTGACATTATCAGGAGTGCCACATTCCCAGGGACATTACACGCAATGTCAGGATGGCTCAGACCCACTCTCAATGACATCATGCACAACACGGAATTCTACAGGCCTAGCCCTCAGTAATAGCATGCTGAATGCAGAGTAGCCCCCCCCCGTTGCCCGCCCCCCCGCGGTGATGTCACTTGAAATGTAAAATTCTAGAGGGCCTAGGTGATATCACCTATAATAACTTGATGGCTGGCCCCTAGTGACATCACATGGAAATTGATGAAGCTCCACTTCTAAAGACGTCTCATGGAATGTCATGGAGACTGGCTTTACCCTCCCCCCCCAACCCCGCCATGTCACCACATGAAATACCATACCCTACCCCCTACAGATAACACAAAGAATTACTTTATGACTTGACCCTCATGACATCATGTGGAAGGCCCCCTGTGACATCATGTAGAATGCCGTACAGGCCTCTCCCCACAGTGACATCACAGGAAAGAGGAGCCTCTGGGAGCCACCCCGCACCAAGTTGTAACTGGAGGATGTCCCTTGGCTTTTCTTCCCCAACATGCCCACCAGCCAGCTTTCCTGGCTTCTCTGGGCACATCCCAGTCGCCTTCCTGTCTAGACCCCAGGGACAAGGCTGGCTTCTAATGCTGACAGAAGCCATTTTCTGGCCCAGGCCTGGGGGACCATCCTAGAAGGAGTCCAAAGAGGACCTAGGGAAAGTCCCCTATCCTGGGTGCCAGGCCTGGGTGAGCCTCTGGCCGGGCCCTGGGCTACCAGACAAGGACGGAAGCCTCCTGCCCCACCCTTCACGAGGAATCTTCCTCCAAACCAGGGCTAGCTGCGGTCACCAGCCTCTAGTCCCCGGTGGGCTCTACAGGCCAGGCCACGAACTGCGTGTGGGAACCGAGGGACAGCAGCCAGAGCGGGTGAGCCCTCGCTGTGGAAGCGCCCTGTCAGCCCCGGGGACTGGGCTACCTTCGCCAACACAGAATAGCCTCCCCTCACCTGTGAATCTGCTGAGCCGTGGCAAGGACAGTAGAGAAACCACCCCCTAGACTGCCAGGAAGCCAAAGTCCAGCCTGCTTTCCTGGCTCCTATGGGGGTATCTTAGAATTACTCGGGCTGGGGTACCTGGGTGGCTCAGTCAGTTGAGCATCTGCCTTTGGCCCAGGTCCTGAGATCAAGCCCCATGTTGGGCTCCCCACTCTCCCTCTACCCCCCCCCCCCGCTTGTGTGCATGCTATCTCTCTTGCAAATAAATAAATCTTAAAAAAAAAAAATTACTTGGGCCTTCTCAAAATACACATCCCTGATCCCCAAATTCACGGCCGCAGGGAACCTCTACTAATGACAGGAGTGTTGTTTCCTCTGATTTTAAGGGGTTGAACAAAGGGTAAAAAAACAACAGAGAAAAACAAAACACTTTCTGGGCCAGGAGGGGACTCCTGAGGGCAAGCTGAGCTGCCCGGCTGGGCCTGTCTGCAGAAAATCAGCTTTCCCTACACCTTCTGACTTCACATTCAGGCCTATGCTATGCCCGACATTTTATTATACACATCTTCAAACACAGAGAAAGCAGAAAGAATTCTACAGCGAGCATCCCCACACCCATCACTGAGCTTCTACCTTAGCATTCATTCACCTTTCTGGGTCACGTGTCTAGCCCCCTCTCCGTACAGTAATCCATCTTAGTTTGGAAGCATTTCAGAGAGAGTAGCAGATACCAGCATGCATCCACTCAGGACAAATTGTGCAATGCCTCTGCTGTCCTAGTGGACTGCCCCCAGGGCTCCCCCACAGCAGGACACCCCCACACCAGAGCTCCCATACAGTAGAACACCCCATACCAGGCTGTCCCCACACCAGGGCTCCCCTACAACAAGATACCCCCTCACCAGGGCTTCCGCATACCAGGATTCCCCCAGATGCTTCTCACCATCTACAGACAGCAGTAATGAGCTCCGAGGTATGACAACCACAGACCCCGACAGAAGGGTAGGCCTCGTGCCTGCAGAGGTGAGGCCTGCCAGGCAGGACTGAAGCTGTGTCCAGAAGATCGTGGATGTCAGTGTGAGCAAGGACACCAGAATGACATCCAAGAGTTGCTGGGGCCAGATCAGCTAGGGCAAGCCGTAGGACTATCCGGAATGCCCTCCCTTTGGAGCTGCCCTGGGGACATCTGTCTCCCTCAAGCATGGGCTAACACCATACGTTCCCACTGGGTCTCCTGCCTTCCTCTTGCCTGGCCTCGCCTGCCCCCCCATCCTCAGGTGTAGACTGGGGTGATCCTGGCTCCCTGGGAAATGCTCAGCCTCCCCAGGGCCTGGTCAGTAGCCGAGCTCCCCACGCGAGCATCCAGCTAGCTCCTGCCTGCCCCAGCACCTCTCTCCCCACTCCTGTGTCTGCTCCTCAGGGCTCAGCTGGCCCGGCTTTCTGGCTGCCCTGAGCAGGGCCCATAACCCCTGGGACTGGGGGGGATGGGGGTGGGGGGTGCTGTAATTCTCCTCCAGATGGGCGCTCTTTGGCTCCGCCCAGGCCTCCTGAGAGGAAGCAGGGACCCTAAGGAGGTCGCCCCCAGCTGGGTCCAAGGGCCATCAGATCCCCACCCTCTTCTCGGGAGCAGCCTGCCCTGCAGGAGGGTGGGGCCACCGGGGGATCCTTGCCCAAATCCCAGGGCTCGTGAAGAGTGCAGTCCAGGCATGGTATACCCGTGTATCTCTTGCCTGACTCTGCCTCTCTCTCTTGAGTTCCTTGTCCCACAAAGGACCCAAAGCTACTAAATCCTTGGAGGATTTTTTTTCTTTGAAGCCTGTCTATCTTCTTTTGAGCATGTGAAAACCTCTTCATAACAACTGTTTCATTCCCACTTCACTTTTCCAATCTTCCCCAATCCCCAGCCACCTCTCAACTCAGAGCCCAGCAGTGAGCAGAGGTCCAGGAGCACGGTCCTGTCTCAAAAGCTCCTTAGGACAGGCTTGAGGTGTTGGGGGCCAAGATCACCGCCAGGCTCACAGGAGCCCTTCCTCCTTGTTGGGCCATGGTTTAGGGCACCTGAGAGGGGGCACAGGGCTAGCGGGTGCCGGGGAGCAGCTGTGGCCCCTGTGACAGTGGATGCCTTGTGGGGAGGCAATAAAACAAAGAGCACAGACTTTGGTCCGAGCCAGACCTGAGGATACAGGGCAGCCTCCACACCCTCTGGGTAGAGATCACAACAAGGCCTTTCTCCCACAACTGCTGGGAGGACTACATGTTTAAATAGGTTATTCCGCAAGGAGGTGCAGAGCTGAGAAAGCTTCGGGGAAGCTCCCAATGGAGGAGGTACAGGGGCTGGCCCCCCAGGCCCTGCCCCTGGAGGGTGCCACAGGGGTGGAGGCTGGGCTCTCCAGTGCATCCCTGGCTCCACAGGGAAATAAGATCTGGAGCTGGCAGAGAGTGGGGTGTCAGGGGCCAGCCTGCTATCCCTAGAGGGGCCTGCGCATCAGCTGGAAGAGACAGAAGTCCTGTCCAGGGTCCCAGGGAAGCAAGGCACTGGCCAGGGCTCAGGCTCACGTAGGTTCCTATTTCCCCAGCTCCCTGGCGGCAGAGGGGGTAGCTGGGCTCTGCAAAAGTTCCCAGCCCTCACTCTAGGTGCTCAAAACCAGACAGGCCCCTGCCTTCCTTCTGCTCTAGAGCTACCAGTGTAGGTGTGGCAGGGGCTGGGAGGCAAGGAGAGGTAATAGATGCTGTGAACTGTGCAACTTCCAGTATCTCCTCCCAACCTGCCCAGGCTGACCATCCCGGCCGACTTCCCATGGAGCCCTAAGTGCATTTAACATGATGTGATTAAATTACCATCATGCCATGCTCTGCTCCCTTCCCATCTGGCCTCCCCTGGGGCCTTGCTGCATCCTTCATCCTTTCGCTGGAACCTTCTGTCTCCCCATGGCCCCACTCCCCAACTCCACCCTGGCCGACAAACAAGCCAGAGGCTTGTCTGTGTCAAAGAGCCTCTCCTTTCACAGAGGATTTCTAGTGAAACTATTTTCTATGATGCGATATTGTGGATCTATGTCCTTCTACACTGGCCCAAACCCATAGAATGAACAACAAACACCAAGAGTGAACCCAGATGTAAACTATGGACTCTGGATGATAATGATGTGCCAGTATAGGTTTATCGCTCATAACAAATATGTCACTTGATAACAGGGGGAGGCTGTGCATGTGTGGGGCAGGGGTGCATCTGGGAAGACTCTACCTTCCACTCAATTTTGCTGTGAACCTAAAACTGCTGTTAAAAAATTAAGTCTTTTTTTTTTAAAAAAAAGGCTATCCCTGCCTTAGCTGCTCCAACTGGCTCTTGTCATGTCTCCCTCTCATTTCTGTCACCTGCAGGCTTCTCCGAGAATGACCCGCAGATGCTTCTGCCTGACTGCCTCCTGCCGCTCTCACGCCCAGCCCTCGCCACGCCACACCAGTGACCTCCCTGTGCCCAAAACCAGGGGGCACCGGTCCTCTCCCTTGCTGAGCACACCCTTCCCTGGCCTTCTGAGTCTGTCTCCTCTCTTCTTACCCCCCAGTTCCATGTCCTGGATGTCAGCGGTAGAAAGCTCCCCTGGGCACGTCACTCCCAGGGGGCCCTAGACACGTCACTCCCAGGGGGCCCTAGACAACACTGGGGCCTGGCAAAGTCCACTTCGTGCCTTGCAGGGTGGTTCCTGGGTAGAGGTGTTTCCTGGCTCCAAAGAGGTGGAGAAGCTGTGTTTGAGAATGGGGGGGCCGCAAGGGGGGGGTGTTTGCAATCATAGCCAGTCCCTGGATGATGGAGGACTGTGCAGAGAGGGATGAAGACTCAGGGAACTGGGGAGACAACTCCCAGGCGGGAGGGCTGCCCCAGCAGGGTCTAGCAGACATTACTCGGGAAGCCGACCTTCCTCATACTTGCTGCTGTCCCATAGTAAACCTGGGGGCTACGCATGAAGTTGCCCTTGTCCTGGCCCAAGGCCTCAGAGGGTCTGCTCCTCAGGGCCCAGTCTCCTGCCCGCTCAGGGCCCTCATGGAGTCAGGGACAGCTCTGAGCACCTGGGAGGGAAGCAGGCAGGGAGAAGGCCTGGCCTGCGGACCTCCAAGAACGCATTCCCCAGCTGGGGTCCTCTGTCCGGTTATCTTCCGCATTCGTTCGTCCGGGAGGGCCTCGGCCAGCCTCACAGCAGCCCTCCGGAGGCTTGCCTGACCTTCAGTGTGGCTATAAACAGCTCAGCCTGTCAGCACTGCTAGGCGCTGCCCAAGAAACAGCACTAAGGCCTCAAAATTCCAGGAATGGCCGGCACAGTTAACCCAGAATAGTCTCAGCCTGTCCCCCTCCCCCTCCCAGGGGACCCTCAGTCCTCTGCATCCCCACTGTAGCTAGGAGATCTGACAAATACTGGAACAAAAAACAACAAAGAAGCAAAGGCTTCTGGGCTGGTGCCCCAGGAGAGCCTGCAAGGCCAGATGAATAAGGCCTTAAGAGACAGAGGTCTTGGAGCAGAGAGATGGGCATCCCCCATCCCCACCCCCACCCCACCCCAGGGGCCCAGGCGCAGCCCCGCGGCTCCCCAATCCTCACCGCCGCCTCAGCGGAACAGCAGGTGCACAGCATCTTCCCCGTGCATGTTAGAAAGCACTCACACATGCACACTCCCATTTCACAAATGAGACAGCCAGGCTGAACTGGTCTTTTCTAAGACGACACAACTGAGAGCAGCTGAGCCAGACAAAAGCGCGCGCTTGTTCCGTAAAGGCAAGGGCTGCTGCATGCACCAAGGACAAGGCCCCAGACCATGGCCCCAGCCTCTGACCTAGCTTGGACGGGGGCAGGCTGGGCCTTTGGAGAGGCTCCTTAGCGGCTGCTCCCACCCCTCCCCCACTTCCTGGAGAATTGGCTACGGCTGGGGGGGGCAGTTAAGGGGAGCTCATGTTGCAGGCCCAGCCGCACCTGTCCAGGATAAATAAAGGCATTTCCCCTCCACCCTCCCATTCTCCCTCCTGAGCCCACTTCTCGTGGGTCCTCACTGAGACCCACTGAAAGGAGGCCGTGGGGGCTTCCTGCTGACCCAGGGTTGATTCTGGAGGGCAGGGTGGGGACTGGAGCTACCCCCCAGCCTGAGGGGGGCAGCCTCCCTACAGCTGACGAGGGGCAGGCCCCATTCAGTTCTCTTCAACTAATCCCTAGCCAAGGGCGGAGGGGCAGGCCAGGGAGTTAGGGGTCGCTGAGGTCATAAGAGCTCCTGAGCAAATCTGAGCCTCAGCTTGCCTGGCGCTGAAGCGAGATGGTAAGCCCAGCCCTGCCCACCAGCACACCTCTCTCAGGGTTGTGGTACAGGTGCCCAGGGGTGTCGGCCCTGCTGAGAGTGAGCAGGCCCTGCCTTTGCTACCCCCACCCCCCACCCCACCACAATTTGCCACCACTGCCCTGTTGTAAAGGCTCAGGCCAGGACTTGGGAGCATCCACTGAGGGAGAAGTGCCTGGTGCAGAAGGGCCTTGAGAGCCCCAGCAGGAAGCACCACAGCCCTGGTGGGAGTGTCCTGGGCCCTGCCTGGCCAGTAGCCCTGAGCTTGGGACGCCCCAGCCCAGGGCGTCAGCGGCCCCCCCCCAGAGGAGTTTGTCAAGAGGTCCTAAGCCCTGAGGAGGATGGAGCACCTAGCCCAGCTTGTCCCATGGCCTGGAAGATCTGGGGCATGCCCCCGAAGGAAGCTGAGAGGCCATTATACCTATCCCCCCCCCGATGCCCTGCCTGAGCTGTGGGTTCTATTTATAAAGGTAGCCCCTAGTCATTGGCTCCATTACATCCCAATACACTCTTTCCCTGCAGTGGGGACATTCTTCCTGCTGTCTAGCTTAAGGCCTCCGTGCTACAATATAAGCCCTGGGCTGGCCGAGGCCAGGTGGTGCATAGATCCTGGGTGAGGTCATTGGCTATCCTGGGTGCCACTGAGCCAGGAGGCTAATTTCCACCCCCCGGGGCAGGGAGCACCAGCATGAGGCCTTGAGGACTGTAGGGCTGGGGGAGATGTGGGCTCAGTCCCAGGCATGGGAGGCTGTGGGCCCATGACAGTGAGGGTGGACAGCCTTGTAACCATGCTGGTGGGGAGCTGTGCAGGGTCCCAGGGGGAGGGGGCCGTGTCTACCAGGGCTCAAATGCCCACATATCACCGCATCAGGCAGGGAGCGCAAAGTTCTGGGTGTCCTCCTAGTACTGCACGTGGTGGCCTCCAGGACAGTGGGTCTGGAGGGGTGGAGACCCAGGTTAGATGAGCCAGACCTCCAGCAGGATGAACGTGGCCCTCTCCCTGGACTAGAGCCAGGCCAGGGCCCCCCTCCCCCCGCTGGGGGCTCGTGGCCTCTACACCTGTTATGAGGCTCCTATGGCACCCCTGAGTGGGGCTTCTCCTTCTTGGTGTCCCCCCTAAGTGCCCACATCAGGTTCCACAACCAGCACTGCCCCTCCGTGTGGGTATTGGCTCCCTGTCTCCTCTGCCAAGCACCTCCAGGCCTTCCCTGGCTGTCCACCTGAGTGCCTCCCTGCCCACCCGCACCCCCAGGCCCACGGCAAATCTCTGCTGCCCTGAGGAAGAAACGGCCTCCCTCCCTGTCCCCAGGTGGGCAGAGTCCAGACTCCCTGGCCCATCCATCACCCACCAGTGATGGCCTGGAGCCGCAGGCTGCCCCTCATGCCCACACCAGTGGTGCAGGAGGCTCAGCCTCAGGCTGACCCCATTAGGCAGGGCTTGTCTTTGCCCTCCCACAACTCAAAGTTCACCCTGAGCCCCAGGGTCTTCACTCCAGCTCTGCCAGACCTGCTGGGGAGTCCCTCGACAAGTGTTACCTGAGTGCCTTCCATGTTCTAGACACTGGGATGGGTGCTAGAGACCCAGCAGCGGTTAAAACAAAGACAGCTTCCTCTTAAGCGGATCTAGCTTATCACCTCTCTGGACTTCAGTGTTTCTGGCTGGGCAATATAGTTACTCAGACAATCTCCAGTGATCTGGGACATCGCCAGCAGGCTGTTCCCTGATCACAGACACTGCAGAACATATGGACCATTTCCCCAGGTGAGCATGGGGAAGAAGATGTCAGACAGGCAGTCAGAACAGCTGTGGCCGAATGGGTAGGGGCTTGGCCGGGTGAGGGAGGAAGCTGGTAGGAGATCCCCAGAAGGCCCAGGAAAGGGGAGGTGGAGTTGAGACTGTTACCTTGGGCCTGGGATGGAGTGGGGGCTGGAGCCCAGTTACCAGCCCAGCCCAGCCCCGAGCCCTGACAGCAGGGCAGCTGAAGTCTTTAGTCTGTCCATCCATCTAGCTGCCGGCCTGTCACCTGCGCTCTCCATGCTGGGAGTGCTCTCTCCCCAAAGCAGCTGCCCACTTCCATGGAGATGCTCCAGGCTTGGGGGCACCCTGGGCTCCCCATCCCTGGGAAAGGGCTTAGGAAGGCTCTAACTATACTCTGTCCACCTGCCTGCCTACCCAGCAAACTTGGCTTTTCTTTCTTGGCTCAAAACACCCACCACTTGCCCATGTTTCACACTCACGACAGGTTGGCGAGCTCAGGCGGACAACAGCTATGGCCGAAACCAGGGGTCTGTGGCCGGCAGTATCCAGTTGGAGCCAGTCCCAGCCCCCAGACTGGGGATGGGGCATGCTCTGCTTTCCAAGAGCCTCAGGGAGGACAGTGGACGGATGGAGGGATGCACACACCCACCTCTGAGTGTGCCCCGCCCCTGCAGGTGCCAGGCTGTGTGGGCAGTGCACACTCACCCGGGAGATAGTGAGCGGCATGTTGAAGTCCTTGCCCCCCTGGAGACGGAAGCCCCAGGGCCCGGGCCCGGTCAGGGTCACGCTGTAAGACATGCTCGTGCTGACAGTGGCGGCCTCTGTGGACGAGAGAAGAGAGGGAATGAAAGGGCCCTCATGTACCCACCTCCCCAGGCTATACCTGGACCCCTACTCCCGACCCCCAGCCTTGCCTGCTCCGTCCCTTGCTGTCTGGCCAGGCTGTGTGGAGCTCCTGAGAGGCTCCTAAGAATAGCTGAGAACGAATGCCATCGACACTGATATCTGCCCTCTGCTGCGCCCATAAATGGACTGTAACCCTACACTCCGCCCGCCCGCAGCCTCCCACTGTGACTCACGCGGCTAATATTGCCCCTGGGGAGGGGTGTCCAGCACCCAGCAGCCCCCAGGGGGCAGAACGGGGGGCTGGCCAGATTAGTGATAATGCTCTCTCCTTGGTCTCCTCTCCTTGCTCCCTCTGCCCTTTGGAGAGTCCAGATGTGTGTTCTCTCTGCCCAGCTCAACCCCCACCCCTTCGCCCAGAAGACTGTGGCTGAGCTCCTTTGGGCAGGGGCTTTGCAGTTTGCTGTCTTCCTGTGCAGAGTCCTCCCTGGTGAGGACTCTGAGGTTGTAGCTTACCCAGCAGGAAGCCTGGGACCAAGCTGAGCCTCTGGCTGGTCTGGACAGAGCTTCTGCTCAGGAGACTAGCCATTGGCCCAGGCTTGTCCAGCTGTAAAAATGATCATAATAATAACAGGAGCTCTGGGCATGGCCAAGCTCAGCTCCGGGTCCCTCATGCCATTATCCCCTCAGATCCTGAGAGGCTGCCACCTCAGCCTGCGGCAACTAGGGCTCAGAGAGGTCAAGTGACTTCTCCAAGGTCACACAGGGAATGGACCCAGGCCACGCTGGAGCACCTGAATAGGGCTCATTCCTAATGGACTCGTGCCAGATAACGGGTTCCCAGTGGCCGCAGGCACCTCCCAATGCCCAGACCAGGCATGGGAGTGAAGGGCACAGGGTGCTGGCCTAGGGTCTGAAAGCAGGTCTGAGGCAGGCCCACACCCTCCAGACCCTCCAGGGGCCCAGAGGTTATTCCTGGCTCTCCTGTCTCATTTGTGCTCTGGAAAACTTGACAGCAGCATGGAAAGCTCCAGCTGCCAATGTTGCATGCCAGGTCCCCATGCCCTTTGCACTGGAATGGCAGGGGGCAGGGAGGAGGGGAGGAGATGCCATTTGCTCAGCTGCTGGGACATGGGGCCAGAAGGCATAGGGACGGGGAAGTGTGTGCGATGTGTTCAGCTTCTAACCCAGAGACAGTGTGTTCTGGGTGGGGGCCTGGGGGTGAGGCCCCTCAGGACTCCAGCCAGTGTGGTCTTTTGGCCAAGATACCTCCAAGAAGCCCTTCCTCAGAAGAGACCTCAGGCCCTGTGTGGTCTGGAGATAGTTCAAGGCCATCCTGGCTCTGGCTGAGGAAACTGAGGCTCACAGAAGGTGAAGGTGACTGGGATGGCTGCTCTTTGGCCCTCCGGGGAGGCTCTAGCCTAAGCTGGGCCCTGAGGACTCAATGCAGGCCTGGGTGTGAGTAATTTCCCAGTGGCCAGCACCCCACCTGATGCCCGGGGCCTGGCCCATACAACGTGCACGGTAGGAGTCCCCACAACACAGGGGCATTTGGTAACTTGCCCAAGTTCACAAAAATATCAAGTGGAAGAAGTCAAGGAGGGACCTATATTCTTTCACCCACTGTACCACCTCTTCTACTATGTATCATACAGCCCAGTCTGTCCCTGCTGCCCGGGCCTGGCCCAGAAAGCCAGCCACTCATGGCCAGCACCCCACCCTCCCCCATACCAGCCCCTGCCCCCTGCCCCACCCCCAGGCCCCATCCCATCCCCTCCCCATCTCCAGTTTTACCCCCTTTCCTGGGAGGAGTCTGTCCTGCCAAGCTGGAGAGGACCCAGCAGCAAGTATGACCAGTGTGGGGAAAGAAAGGAGCCGATCCCAGGGGGATGCGGGGCGGTAGAAGCCTCGGGCTAGGCAGTACCTGGAGCTGCAGGCTCTCTCTCTGGACTCTGGCAACCACACTGCCTGATGCCGCCTCTGGGGAGAGGGAGGGGGAGTGGGAAGGATGCTCTTAAAGGGGAAGGCCAGACTCCCTCCATCTGCCTCCCCTGGGAGACCAGAAGCCAGCCCAAGAGCAGCTGGTCCCCACAGGCTGGGCACTAAATGCTTCCTGATAACAGCAGCTTATTGGGGAGAGGGGATGGGGGCAAGCCCCGTCTCTGTCCCTCCTCCACCCTGCCCCTTGCAGTTTCAGATGGAGGCTTTAGGAGTGAAAGTTGCCAGATGGAAGACAGAGGGAGGGGAGAAAGAGAGGCTGCTGTGGGCATCAGAGGTCAGGCCCTGGGTCTCTCCCCCATCACCCCACCTGTAGGTAAAGACCATGCTTGTCTGAGGAGAACTCTGCTTTTTATTTTCCTATACACTGTCAGAGCCATACAGCCCCAGTATGAACTTAGACCACTGATTTGAGACAGACCCCAGGTGCAGAGTGTGCACGCGTGTGCTTGGTGCATGCAAATATATTCCTAGAGGAGAGTGCACTAGAGTGTGGGTCATGGCAGAAAGAGTACTCCGGGAGCGGGGACGGGGAGAGAGGGGAACAACAGCTCCCGGCGGGTGAGGTCTGTGCTCGGCTTCCACAGCGGGCCGCAGGGATGCCGTGCTGGGCTGCCCGTGTCAGTGAAAGGCCCAGCCTGGGTGCAGAGGCAGCTCACAATTAGCCGGCGTGTCCCACGGAGCCGTCGCCATTGTCATTGCCTGGACAATCACAGCACACGGCATTTGAGGCGAGGCGGATGACTCCGGGAAGCAGGAGGGCCTGGGCTCCCACGCTTCAGGCTGAGCCTGGGGTACAGGCTCTTGAGATGAGAAGTGGGTGGAGAGCACTTGGCAGGGCAGGAGTTTTGTGGTGTGGGGCCATGAATCCAGCACAGCAGGGGTGACAGGGCCACTTCCAAAGCCTGCAGGCTCAGGGGGGTAATCCTGGGCTGTGTGTTTGAGGGGGAGGTGAAGGGGCTGGATGTGTCCCAGAAGAAAAGGGGAGCCCGTGGGCACCCTACATCCTGGGGTTCAGGCTGGGGAGCAGCCCCTTGGTCTGAAAGCAAACAGCACACATCTGCTTAGCCCAAGGAGTGTCCCCCTGGGAGCAGTCCCCCAGTGACCCTCCACATACAGGGTCACCGAGCAGTGAAGGGAGGTTGCCTGGAGGGGCCAGGTGGGGTCCTGGCTGGGGGATGGGACTTCCCCGAGACCGCAGGCAATATGGCCTGGAGGATGGAGCCGGCCATGTCCAAGGCCACCAACAGGACGTCCCCCTGGGATATCTCCTAGGCTCTCAGACTCCTGCAGTCGGGCAGGACTAAGCTCCCCTTGCCCCCACTTCCTCCACTCCTCCTGGGGCCCCAGCACCCCCCTCCCTCTGCTGCCTTCAACACCCCATTTCTCGCCTGTCCTACAACACCAGCTTCCTCCAGGTTTCTCCCTGCTGCCTCATCCCGTTCAACCTGTGCTTCCCCAGCCACTGCAGAGAGGCCCTACCACCCCACGAGGCTGACCGAGCCCACCGCAGGGCCCCTGCTCAGTCCTCCCTCCGAGGGCTCTCTGCTCCCCAGGCTCGTGGCTCAGATCAACACCTGATCAGGCCTCCGCACAATTCCAACCACCTCCTGCCCTTCTCTTCCTCTCTTTTGTCCCCACCAGCTCCCGGAGTCCCTTGGCTGCTCCTGGGTCACAGAGCAACATTCTAGTCCAGGACACACCAAGCCCCCCGCCCCAGGACCTCCCTGCTGCGTTCACACAGGGCATTCCCTCCCCTGGACTGCTCAACCTGACCCCCACCTTCCCCGGGGAGCCCTCGGGGACTTGCTCCTTCTTCCAGCACCCTGTGTGCTGATTCCTCAGTGGCAGGGCTTATCACATGTGTTAGGTGACTGCTGATGTGCTGTCCCTCTCTGCCCTATGCCACAGCCCAGCCCAGTATTCCCTCCAGGACGGGCACAGTGCCTTTCATCACGGCCCCTCCCCAGCCCAGGGGGGCACTGCCCGTCTCTGTCCTGGCCTCTTTGGCCGTGCACACTGCCCAGGCTCAGGGCTGGGGTGGGAGTCTTCCCTGGGGCTGGTGCATTCTGGGAGCGGTGCTCCCCGGGAGAGGCAGGGGCTCCACAGCTGAAGGGAGCAGCCCAGGTCTCCCCATCTCTGGGACACCCAAGGAACGTCCTGGGGGAAGGAAGGCAGGACACGGTCTTGGGCTCGCGGGGAAGCCCAAGAGAGCCCAGGAGCTGGGGGTGTTGTGCGGGTGTGAACGGAGGGGCTGGGTGGGGAGCTGTCAGCTGCAGGGGGAGGGGGACGGGTAGCCTCGGGGCCTGTGCACACGGCATTTCCAGCGTTCCAGAATATGGCCTTCTCTAATCGCCATCGACATTCCGTTCCATAGGCACTTGGGCTGACAGCTGGCCTTCTTTTAATAGCCACAAGTATTCTGGGTGACATCCTAATCACAGGGCATTCACTGGGAGCACATACACGGCTCGCAGCACCCCCCCCCCAAGGTACGTCCAGCCTCCAATCACACAGAGAGGTACACACCACCCACACTCGGTCACACGCAGCTTAGAGCAGACATGTTGGGGCACACTCAATCCTGTGCCCTGTGGTGTCACAGTGACAGAGAACATGTGCAGGGCACATGGTCACACACAGGCACAAGCCATACTCTGCTGGCTCACTGCACGCACGTCCTGTCCTGCTCGCACACACTTACTGTACGTTCATCACTGGAGAGCCACCATCGCTTGCCACGTATCTGCATCGTCAAGGTCGCACAATCACACAGACTCTCGGATGCAGTCCACACTCACTCAGGCCTGCCCACAGCATCATGGAGTCACAGAGGCCCCCCAGGCACCCCAAGCAGGCCGGGGACATCTGGGTGGGGAAGGAGTGACTCCCAGAGGGCGCTGGGCCTGCCCACAAGAACAGCTCCCCTTTCCTGGCCACTCCCTGGGCTACTGGCCCCTTGTCCCCACCCCTGTATGGATTGGCAGGTGCCACTCCCAATCACCTTCCCAGGAGTCTCTGCTTCCTGCCCCTGAGGCCTGAGAGGGGCCTTGGCTTCCATGTCCTCCAGGCCCTGACTGCAGGGGAATCGGCCGCTCACTTGCTGGGCAGTCCCCCACACAGCTGCTGCCTCTGTGTCCGTCCAGCCCTGGGG